ACGTATACAGGGGATTGTAAACGATAGCTCCTTACAAAAATTCGTTTTCATTACTGCTTACAAACATATCGAGAACTGGCCGATTTAGTGCCTTTAAAAAATTTACTGAGCTCAGCAGGACGGATTTGTTAGCAGTCAGGGCCCCTCGATAAAAGGTAATTCTTGGCTAAGATTGCAATACTAGACATGAAATTTTAAACCTTTAGGATATTGCTATCAACTTGCAAGCAAAAACTAACAAAATAAACCTCGCAGGTGGATCAAGAAGTTCACAGAATTCTGCAGACGCCCAAACAATAATAATTCACAAATCTTATATAGCGCTCGATTCCTAGTTTTGAATTTATTTGCAATTGAGGAGCCGCGCATGAAAACAAATTCAACGGAAAGCTAAAATCCATAAATATGAATTATGCTGTACTTAAAAAATTTATAAGTCATTTAAAAATCTTTTTTATCGCAAAAAATGTAACGAAATTAACAAATAATAATTCTGCATTTAATAAATACAACTAAATATAATTTATTAAATTAAACTAATTTTTATTTTTGGCTTATTTTACCTTAACATAATATTTTGCAATTTTTGGCTGCATATTTATTAATTGATTTTGGTTGACTTCTTGAAAAAGCAAAATTTGTTGTTGTTAGTTTAAACTTTAATGACTTCCAAGGTAATCATCGAGCAATTTTAAAAGTAAAGCAAGCCGCGCACGAAAATTAAAATTTAAAAAAATTTAAAATATGTTCAATGTTGCGTTTCTCAAATACAGATATATTATTTGTTAATTTCGTTACATTTTTTGCGATAAAAAAGATTTTTAAATGACTTGTAAATTTTTTAAGTACAGCATAATTCATATTTATGGATTTTAGCTTTCCGTTGAATTTGTTTTCATGCGCAGCTCCTCAATTGCAAATAAATTCAAAACTAGGAATCGAGCGCTATATAAGATTTGTGAATTATTATTGTTTGGGCGTCTGCAGAATTCTGTGAACTTCTTGATCCACCTGCGAGGTTTATTTTGTTAGTTTTTGCTTGCAAGTTGATAGCAATATCCTAAAGGTTTAAAATTTCATGTCTAGTATTGCAATCTTAGCCAAGAATTACCTTTTATCGAGGGGCCCTGACTGCTAACAAATCCGTCCTGCTGAGCTCAGTAAATTTTTTAAAGGCACTAAATCGGCCAGTTCTCGATATGTTTGTAAGCAGTAATGAAAACGAATTTTTGTAAGGAGCTATCGTTTACAATCCCCTGTATACGTGTACTGAAATGTATCCTTGCAAGAATTGAGATATTTCATAATTTATTCATATGATTTACCACAAAATCACACATTTGGTCCATGAAAGAGATCTGATTTAAAAAAAAAAAAAATATATAAAATTATTCAAACAATATACACATAATATAGCAATGACCCTATATAAAAACAAACCTTTAAGAATATAGAAAATTCCCTAAACACTCAAAAATTACCCTTGGCCTTGTGGCTCCAAGTTAAGATCTAGACTGTTTATATTAACAATGTTTTTTCTCGCACCTCTGTCTCCACGGAGAGAAATCACTGTTGTTCTTAGGATTTCAAAGCGAAGGCGCTTTCTGATGTAACCTACAGCATCCGAGTACCTCTGGCCAGTGTGGTACTCCATCTTACTGGCCAGCTTTTTTACCAGTCTTTCAGCCTCACTACCCATTCCACCAGAAGTCGAGAACACTAAAGGTGTGAAGCTTCCTTTCTCCACTTCAAGAACCCTTGCGTTGTAACATCGCTTTTTCTCATTTTCATGGGACTGGTACATTGCTGGGATCGATTTGCTTGCATTGGAGGGGGCTGGGGCATGAAATACCCTTACATCAAAATATGCCCTCTCTGAAGCATTCCAAATCGATCTTGCAGAAATGTCCAGCGTAGCTTGGTCTCCAAGTACTGTTCCCTTAGGCAACTTCAGACCATCAACTGGAAGAAGAACTGGCTCAGTCTGCACATCCTTGCATTTCACAGTTCTCATTAGTTCAGCAAAGGTGTCTCTCAGCGAGTTGTGCCGCAGTGACACATATCCACCGAGTTTGCAGATGAGCGCATGGTTTGCTGAGTACTTTTGGCCACACGTACATGTCTTAGGGCTGTCCTTTAAGTTTAGGTTTTATCTGAGTGCTATTGCGTCTGAGAACTGTTGTTTGTTCATCAGATATCCATACTCTTTTAAAGGTAGTGCTGTTAACCAAGCACTTGCCCCTTTCTCAGCAGCTAGTTGGAACATCAACTTTGCCAGTGGTGTTGACTCGAGCTCCTGGCGTATTTCCGCTTGTTTTTGTCGATAGAAGAGATTTCGTTCAGTTGTTATCTCCGTTTTCACTCCTTTGCTTACTCTCCAGTCCTCTGTGTAGTTGTCTACCTGCTTCAGAATAGCTTCTTTAAGGGGTTTTGTGGCTCTACATGAGAATTTGTACTCTCGGTCTGCCATGTCCATCATAACTGGTATACCCAATCCTCCATATCTTGGTGGTAGAGCCATTATGTTCCTTAGTTCATCAGTGCAGCTAAACAGCCTGTTAAAGATAGCTGGGATAAACTCATCGCGTGTTACTTGTTCCAGAGGAGTGAGCCTATCTTAGTAGAGGCTCTTACGGGCAAAAAGACGTGTTTTCTGCTACGAGTTTAGAGACCTAACCGCTAATTGGACACAATAGTATGATGTCTAAGGATCGATAATATGTTAAGAAGTATAAATTTGGCCTTATTAGTCACGTGCTATACCAATGCGCGTTTTAAACTTTGACAGTCTATTACTCTAAGGCAAATAAAGTAATTATATCCATATTTTGTCAGCAATAAGATCACATTATTTTCTATTTAGTGTGAAAATATGAGCTAGAACGGACATAATCTCGCTGAGTTATAGCTGTTTGAAATTTATGATGAACGCGCGGGTGCCAATTGATAACAACTAAATGCTTTTGCGCGTAGTGCGCGTCGAAAATTTGGCAAAAACGCTTGCGGAGTGACAATATTCAAACTTCGATTAAGTATATGAAGTGGGTACTTCTCGGAAAGGAAAAATTTAGGCAAACACGATGTGACTATTTTTGGGTTGATTTAATACAACTGCAAAAAATTATTCAAACTTAAAGCAAAAAAGTCAAAATTTTTACCACTTTTTTGGATTTTTACCTCAGAACAAATAGAGGGATTTGTTTTATTTTTATACAATCTTGTGCGGCTGTCTTTTAGCTATCTTTATGCAAGTTTTGCCGACATGCCAACAAAATTAACTTGCTCAAAATATCAAAAAACATGGTTTTTTGGCCTATTTTTGGCCCAAAAATCGGTTTTTTGCGATTTTACCCCAGAACAATCAGTCCAATCATCTTGAAACCACTTTCAATCGATTCTACGGTCAAAAATACGTCTAGTAAGGTGTATCTGGGGTCCCTAACGTATCGAGCAGACAATGCCCGTAAGAGCCTCTACTATCTGCAACTCCTGGGGTAGTTCTGCACACATAGTTCCATCTTTTACTAAGCCCATACATGTATGCACTGTATGCTATTTGAGGTTCTCTTGATGCTATATCACTTAATTGTTTAAGATCACGACACCATTCTTGAACTTTTTCCTCGATGAAAGCCCCTTTTCCTTCATCAGTTCCGATAAAGCTGCCCAGATATCGTCGACCAATACTTGTCACATTGACATCTGGGAACAAGTTTCTTGCCTTCTCTTCGTGCTCAGGCTTGACTATCACCCATGTCTTGGAAGATTTAGGGTTATAACCAAAAAGTGGTCCTTTAATGCAGAGGTTATCCCACCATTTCCTCATTTCTTCCAGTTTTCCCCCAGCAGCAGAGTCATCAGCATACCAGATCTGAGTCACTTTTCTCTCAATGTTTCCTGCATCAATCAATGGTATTGTACCACATGCATAAAATCCCATAGCAGGTGGATCACCTTGTGTTGTCCCTTCTTCACTAAAAAGATGTTCATCTTCTCCTGCAATAAACAGTCTAGCAGGCATTCTGTAGGTGTTCATAATGTAGGTAGCAACTTCCGGACATACAATATACATGTTGTTAAGAGCTGCCTCTCGGTTCAGCAAGTTGAATGCATTCTCTGCATCCACTAAGATGATGGCTTCAGTTTCAGGATCTTCAAAGCAGTCCCTCGCAGCATGAACAGCTGCTTCCACTCCTCCCTGAAGACCAGCACACACTTGAATAGGAGCAGTTGCACCAACCAGATCCTTCTGTAGGAGGGTCATCACTGTCTTCCCTATTATCCTTCGTAAGACTTCACCAATGCCAACAGGCCTGACGCCAGGCTTTTTATCCAGGGGAACAAGTCGACATGCTGTCAATGAGGTCAACATCGTTGGATCCAGATTCCTGACACATAGTTTCCTTGCTATCCCTGCTATAGCATTGCATAGATCCTCACACTTCTTACCAAACCAATCTGATTTGTAGTTTCATTTAGTATTTGATTAGCCTGGTTTACAGTAGAGGAAAAAGTTGTTATGAACACTGACCATGCTGTTCTAATTGTGCTGGGTTGAAGAGCTGTCGGTTGAGGGTGAACCCGTTGAGCAGGTTAGCAACTTTGTCTACCTGGGTGCAACTATCAGTGGGGATGGGACAATCGACAGAGACCTGAATGTCCGTATCCAGAAGGCTAATGGCGCCTTTCATCAGCTCTGGAACATTTAGAATAGCAGAACTATAAAGACTCCAACCAAGATTAGGATCTATAGGGCCAGGGCTGCTGAACTCACCATCTTGTTGTATGGAGCTGAAGTCTGGAACACCACCAAAAAGCAGATGAAACGCTTCGAGGTTTTCCATCAGACCTCCTTGAGAAGTATCCTTAGGATTAAATGGCTAAAAACAAATCCTTCGGCTTCCTGTAATTGGCTGGTTGCACTTGTGTAACAATGTGGCTGTTGGAATACTCCGAAGTAAAATAAGTGTCTTGATTAAAAAAAAAAAAAAATGGTTCTTTCATGTGACCAATGAAGAAGTTCTTAGGAGGGCTGGCATCAAGTCAGTTGAGACTTTCATCAGTGCTGCCAGGCTATGTTGGTATGAACATCTAGTTAGAATGCCAGACTCTAGACTACCGAGGTTTCTGTTGAACTGGAAGCCAAATCATGGAAAGAGGTCAAAGGGCAGACCCCGAAAGAATTGGAAGACCTGCGTACTCGAAGATGCTGCTAAGTTTACAGGTGTTGAAAACATCGACAACAACACAACAGAAGCTTTGGCTACCAACCGAGTACAGCGGAGACATATGTTACGCCGCCAACGCGATGTATGTGATGCAGGCCACTCCAACGACTAGGAGGAGACCTTACCATGTAATGTATGTATGGATTGAAGATCAACACCGAAAAAACACAGTATATGGTTGTCAGTAAATGTGGGTCCCAGTGACCCTACACCGAAAGAGACACTATTGAGCTTACAGTGGAGGGAAATCTGTCTATCTGGGTGCCAACATTAGTGGGAACGGTACTATCATCATAATCCCTGAGAAGAATCTTATGATAAATTGGTTTTATGGCGTACTGGCTTAATGTCTATTGACACTTCATCAGTTCTGCTAGACTACGGTGGTATGGACACGCTGTAAGAATGCCAGAGACTAGGTTACCAAATTTTTTACTGGAGTGAAACCTAACTATGTAAAGCGATCGAGAGGGAGACCCCAAAAAGCCTGGATGGCCTGTGTACTCGAGGATGCTGCTAACTTAACAGTTGTTTAAAACATCAGTCGAGATGCAGTACGACAGTTAGCACTGTTAAGCCGTACAAGGGACGTGTGTGATGCAGGCCACTCCAACGACTAGGAGGAGACCTCTTCAGTCTTCATGTAGCATGAATGTGTATGATTTACATTGCATTACAGCTGTACTGAATTAAAGGGAACCCTTTTTGGGCTTTCTTTAGCTAAACTTGATTTAAATAATATTGAATTGACTGACTAGTTTGTAATGCCTAATGTTAGCAATTGTAACCTATTATAGTAATTGTGATCAAACAATGTAACTTTTCATCAAAACCTTTTTTATTCTAGGGAATGTTCTGAATTCCAAGTACTTATTACAACAACAATCTTGATAGTTGATGATTTCGTATTTTGTGGAGATCGGAGAATCTATCTGCTCGACATGTCTCTCTGTGTACGTAAGAACCACTGCACTTAGTAACTAAAATCATGCTTAGATTGTTACACATTACTTTAAATGTAACCACTTTAATTGTGAAAAAAACACACTTGACTCTGTTGAAAAGAGGCTAAAACAACCTTCTGGGTAAGAAGCTTTTCACTTCACAATTTCGTTCAGATTAGAAGAGTTTGTATGCCGAGAAGAGTTAGAAGGGAGATGAAGAGTAAAACAAGGCAAACATGTATTGGACAGCATTTATAGCTTGACAAAGGTATTTAAAATAACAACTGTACTATCATTAAAATTATAAATTTCTTATTCAAATTGTCTCAAATTGTCTCTCTCTTTATTTTAATATGAACTCGATATCTTTTCAAGTATATGATACCATGACCAGTCCTAACTTTTATCATGACTAGCAGGAACCCGTCTAACCCTAAAGTGGTGTCAAGACTCAAGAGACTTAAATAATTATTACCTATTTAATTCGCGTTTTTGACACCACTTGGGGGTCCAAATTTTGGGCTCTAAAACTCCTATTTCTTGATCAATTTTTTATTTTTTCATGCTGATTTGAAGGCCATTAAAGCATTTGACCCAGTCAAAAAGTTTCAGTTGTATATCTTTTACGGTTTTTGCGGAAAGTCGTGTTAAAGTTGATGCTGTGGTGTCAGTAAAATGGCACGGATAAATAAATATACATATATATATATATATATATATATATCGTCTCGCTTTATATATAGTAAGATTGTTTCTGGGATGACTAGATTAAACACTGCTGAGTATAAGTTTATCTTTAAATAGTGGTGTTCTTAAGCGTAAATTTATTATTATTATTGTTCTATTGGATTCGGTCCCGTACTGCCTACTTAGGTATAATTCTGTTTTTTGGATGTTTAACTGTGGACATACTTTAATTTTAGATTCCAGAAATTTTTATTTAACTGTCTTGCTCAATCAAAATGGTTTTAGGGATCAGGAGCTATGGAGCTATAATATGAAACACATGCTTTTAAACATCATGGAGAAGGCAAGAATGTTCAAAGCAGAAAAAAGGGGAATATCCTGAAGACATAAAGTCAAGCTTCAATTCTGGTTAAAAGATGAAATCGACTGAGGTTTGCCATTCAATTTATATATTCTTAAGTTTATTAATTTCATAAGCAATTATTTGATAATTTGGCTTTGTCTACCTTTGCAAAGGATTCTCAAAGCATTTCCTCCTCTATTTAATGTTCTAAGCTATGTTAAAAATATTCTCCTCCGAACGTCGACAATTACACTGTTTCTATCTACCCTGAATCTCCCTCTGCCCACCTCTTCTAGATTGCAGACCCACCATTCTGATTGCCAGACCCACTATTCCAGAGTGTAGACCAACTCTTCTACGGCGAAGACCCGCCATTCTGGTTGCCAGACCCACTATTCCAGAGTGTAGACCCACCATTCTGGTTGCCAGACCCACTATTCTAGAGTCCAGACCCACAATTCTGGTTGCCTCTTCCTCCTCCCCTCCTCAGTCCTCCTCCTCCTCATCAATCCTCTTCACCAGTCCTCCTTCTCCTTCTTCTCTTCGGTCCTTTACCTCCTCCTCCTTTTCAGTCTTCCTCCTTCCTGTCAGTCCTCCTCCTCAGTCAACCTCCTCAGCCATCCTCCTCAGTCCTCCTCAGTCCTCCTCCTCAGTACTCCTCCTCCCCTCCTCCTCCTCCCCCTCCTACTCAGTCCTCCTCCTTTTCATCCTCCTCCTCTTCAGTCCTCAATCATCCTCCTCCTCATCGTTCTTCTTAGTCCTCCTCCTCCTCTTCCTCCTCCTCAGTCCTTCTCCTGGGTCCTCCTCAATCCTCATGGGTCCTCCTCCTCCTCCTCCTTCTCCTCTTCAGTCCTTTACCTCCTCCTCCTCCTCAGTCTTCCTCCTCCTCCTCCTTCCTGTCAGTCCTCCTCCTCAGTCAACCTCCTGATCCTCCTCTTCAGTCCTCCTCCTCCTCATTAATCCTCTTCACCAGTCCTCCTTCTCCTCCTCCTTCTCCTTAGTCCTCCTCATCCTCCTCATCCACCTCCTTCTCCTCCTTATCATTCCTCATCAGTCTTCCTCCTCCGCCTCCCCTCCTCCTCAGTCCCCCTCTTCAGTCCTCCCCCAGTCCCCCTCCTCAGTCCTCCCCCAGTCCCCCTCCTCCTCCTCATATTTAGTCCTCCTCCTCCTCAGTTCTTTTTGGTCGCTTTTAGGTCGCTTCCGGTCGCTTTTGGGTCGCTTCTGGTCACCTTTTAGGGTTCATGTCGCTTTTACACAAGAAAGGGGGCCCTTGGATATATGAAGTGGAAAAAGGGGGCTACGTTGACGACAAAAGTCTGCTTCTTCGCAATAGACCACTCCCCTTTAATTATTTGTTTAGGAAGCGTCAGCCATGCGTTAATTAATTACACCGAAGTTCCTCCTCATTGTACAGGGAAAATAGATCGTGCGTGGTTTAACTACGGCCAAATTCTCGTTTTTATGCTCAATATTTCAACAACTTTATTAACTGGTTAAATCAACTATCTGAACCGATATTTTGTGCAGGAAAAAAAGAAGAGAAGAAGCCGGAAGTAAGTAACTATAGAAAGTTGGTGGTTTCAATTTAGTAAGCCGGCTTCACTTAATCTCCAGTTTGGGCTGTGGAAAGAAATCAAGACATGTTAACCACATTCCTGACTGCCACAAACAATTTGACTATCGAGGTTATGATCTGGAAACACATGATTGAAGGAAACTGGACGAACGTTCCATCATATGGCTACCGTACTCTTTACTATAGTGTGGCAAATCCAGAGAACGATGTCATGTTTACAAGTCTTGTCGTCCAGCGTGTAAAAGAATCAGATGTAACACAGCACCGTGCAGTGATAGTCATTGATGATAAGCAGCAAACTTCCGACATGATACCAGTGACATTATCTCCAACTGATATTTTTAAATTATTCAGTTTAACTGTGATAAAAGCCTTTTCATTTTCAAACAAAAAAGAATATGAAACACTAATGCAAAGTTACTGGGTATAAATCAGCCGACAGGTGCTGAAAATTAAATATATAATGCCTACTGGTGAGACCAGCAGGCATAATGTCGATCTGAGGGGCTAACCCTCACCAGGTCGCGATTAACTCCAAAAAATCCGCGGCTCAATTCCCCAACTCCCTAATTGCGCGGCTTTTATGTTACTTATATATGTAAATATACGTTTCAGCACTGTGTGACGAGGCAGTAGACCCCAGCGCATTTTTTGGAGTTGATTGTCGCGCGCATTTTTTGGAGTTGGGTTACATCTTGGTGACAGGTATCATCACGACGATTATTGGTCACTCGAAATCGACCCGTTTGGAATGCAATGTAGGTGTGATGGTTGTTTCTGCGTATTTGTTAGGGGGGGGGGGGGGGGGGGTCCAAGGGGAACTTTGGGGAACTTTGGGAAAGTCCCCCAAGATTTCTGAAGTTCCCCAAAAAAAAGTTCCCCAAAACTCCCCAAAGTTCCCCAAAATTCCCCAAAATTATTCAAAATTATTTAAAATTATTCAAAATTATTCAAAATTATTCAAAATTTCTCTAATATACATTAATACCCATTAATGTTAACATGTATGTTATTATAAGGTATAATCTTAACTTACTTGTTGATACTTGCAGCATGATAATTTGTTTGGCATTATAATTTTTTTGGGGAACTTTGGGGAACTTTGGGGAATTTTGGGGAACTTTCTGAAGTTCCCCAAAAAAAAGTTCCCCAAAATTCCCCAAAATAATTTGTTTCATTGATAAATTTTTGGGGAACTTTGGGAAAGTCCCCCAGGTTTCCTGAAGTTCCCCAAAAAAAAGTTCCCCAAAACTCCCCAAAGTTCCCCTTGGACCCCCCCCTTGTTAGGTACCTGTTACTAATTAATCAACGGGATCATAATGTTGATTGTATCGATAAAACATGGATTTTAAGGCATAAAGAAGCATTGTTGAGTCCTGAAACCAAGTTTAATCGATTTCTCGTGCAATTTTAGGTCAGGAATGGTCATCAAAATAAATGTATAACAATGTCGATATTTTGGTAAATTTCTAGCTTTCTGCCAGAAAATAAATTTTCGGTTTCTATAGGGGTTAATTAGGTATAAACTACAGTACAGCTGTACTTACACCCACATTCACAAGCATGCAAGCTCACCTGGTCCAATGAGCGGGAAACGGAGAACAAGGTCTGGTGACGTCATAGTCATGACGTGACCTCAGGCTCATAATCACGAGACCTCAGACCCAATCAATTGGGTTCTGGCCTGGTCAGCCCCCTGTCACCCGATCTTGAGGTGACGTACGACACCTCGTTAACCCAATCAATGTCTGGAAGGCTGCAAATTTTCACATGCCAAATCCCTAAGATTCTTAAAGAGTTGTACGAGATGACGATACATAGAGGACGCAGAATTATGAGGACTACCAGATCCTGGTGGAACCTAAGTGATCCATGATATCACGACAGGCCCTAACCAACGAGTTTTGAGATTTTAAAAGACGCGCACGAAGGCGTCTCTTCAACACACTACCTATAGTTTATTCTTCCAAACTCGAAGTTTCTGCAAGCGGGTTTTAGACAAATGTTATGTCTCTGCAAGCAGGTTGGAACTCAAGAAAGGAAAGTTTGGGGGAAGTGTTGTTCACTATAAACTAACCTGTTATTCCTAATAGGCATGTTTGTTTTATACCTACTCAGCAAAGTCAGCTACAATATCAGCTACAACATCAGACAGTGACCTGGTCTCCGTTAGGGTGTTATACAAGAACTAATTGTTTATATTTATTAATTGTTTATATTTATATTTATCATTTGAATAAACTGTATTCGATTAAAGTGTTTCACGGTCAATCCAATAGGAACAAGTTAAACAACTTTGATATGTTAAAATATCAATATGTTAAGTTGTATATTGACATGTTAATATACCAATATGTTATGTTGTATATATATTGATATGTTAATATATCGTAAAACAAAGCAATAATAAGATAAAACAATCCCACTTTAGCGTATCGTCAAAGCAGAAAAATGAAGGTTTTCGTGATCCTGATAGGAGTCTTCTCATCTGTCTGTAAGTAATGTTTATTTTTTAGAGGATCGAACATCGTGTGCTTGGCTAATTTCTTTCTGTTAACGAGTGCCACCGTATGATAATACAACTGCTTTGTTATGCAATCGAACAGACTGTTGTTACGTTTAAATAAGATTAGTAGATTTTAAGGATATATAGTACAATACAAATTTGAGAATAAACAACGTAAACAGTAAACACCCACAGCTGCGGAAGTCATGAAGTGTAATGGCGCTGATGGCGCCACTGCCGAGGACTGCGAGGACGGAGTTGTCGCATGTACATCGTGAGTTGCAACTTTTCCTTTTTTTCGTAAAATTAAATATTTTTAATCTCAGAATTGAATACTGGAAGAAAAAAAAATACTACTTCCATTCTGATGGTTTTAAACACACTCGAGTCATTGATGAATAGTTACATCTCACATCTATATTAGTTTTGACGGCCCCAACGTTAATGTGGCTCTTGCTATGTGTTGGTTCAGCCGAATTAATTATTATGTAATCAAGTTTATTTTTCTCTTTTAGTTAGTTGTCATCCGGCCAAACATTAAGCAACTTATATTGCAGTTCCAATTATCAATTAGTATATCAAAATATGTCATTGTAATTTTGCATGGCTGAAATGTAACGCTTGATTTATATATATAATAATTAATTGAATTTTCAAATAAAAAAGTTAACATTAACAAATGAACTTACAATATTTTGACTACTTTGATGTGACTTTCAACGGGTGACCAAACCCACATCGAACCCAACTCTTTCCATGTTTTACACTCAGCATACTATTACTAACTTTAATACACCAATTTAAAATCCACCATTCCCTCAGTCCAGTGTGGTCGCGGCAGTGGTCGCAGTGGTCGCAGTACTACGTAGGTGCGAGTGCTCAAGCGTACGGGTGTGGAGAGTGCCCTGCTGACAGTACTGCGACATGTGCCCAATGCGTTGCCACAGCAGACGCCGGATGTAACGTAGACGTAACTCCAGGTAAATATGAATTTGCAATGGAGACATAAAGACATAATAAATCAAATTTTGAACTATATCAATATGATCATTGATACATAAAATACATATAAAATTTTGCATATCTGACATTTGTTTGTTGAGGGTCAATGAACAATAACAAATAACGAACAGGTCCATCATTGCTTGCTAATTGGAACATAATTTGGCGCCTCTCTAGTGATGTTCCCCATTCCCGCTTCCCTTTCGTATTATTCCTTACCTGGGGACCCTTGGCTATAATATTCATAAACATATGAAGAATAAAGATGCGGTGGAATGACAGGCTGAGCGCCGCTCAGTAACTTATTCCTTGCAGTGTTCATTATAATCATAATTTATCAAGTCCTGGACTCTAAGTGTCTAATGCTGAACGAATGTTAAAATCCATCCCCACCTCTTGCAAGGCACACATATCTGCCTCCACCTCGCCAACGATAGTGTCACTGTTTGCCCTAACTCCACCTCCACTTTGCGTGGTGGGCATTGTCCCCTCTTTCCAGCTGACGTTTTTCCAGCAATAATCCATTAAACTCCTAGCCTGCCCATTATTCTGTGCTCCCCAGAATCCAGATTAGCTATTACATTACTTGTAGGTTTATAACCTACCAGGACGCGCGCCGAGTTGGACTCGTCGACGGTCCTTTGGATTTGGAACAAATATTTTACGAGTATCACCCGTTAATAATATTACCGACACCCATCAATCTTCAGCTGAAGCAATAAAGTTCGAGTGTTACGACTACAGCTTGGTAAAAGAAGCATTGGTGGCATCCAAAACAGCGACAATTTGTCACGCTGAGAAAGCCACTGCCATCGCATGCAACAAGTACGGAAATGAGGATTCACACCAAAATACCAATAATCGACTTGTTTGCTTATCACTTACTTATCACTTACTATCCAAATTAACAGTAGTTACTAGCTAGTAATAATTAGCGAAATTAACGGTAGTTCTTTGAGTTTCAAAGAATAGCAATGCCTTCCTAGCTATTATCTAGTTTGGCACTTTTTAGGTAACTAAGTATCAAGTATTAATCTAAAAAGTATTGAATTAATTGAAAAACTTAACTGCCCAATATTTCAGACCCGGGAGTGCAGCGGTAGCAAAAACCTACAACGTGGCTAACAAGGGTTGTGGACCGTGTACTGAAGTAGCGAAGAAAGACAAAAGATGTTTCCACTGCTTCACCGACAAATGCAATTCTGCGTCAACTCTAGCGTTTGTTTTGGCGCCCCTCTTGGCAGTTTTCTTCCATATGATGTAAGAAGACCGAGAAAGGAACAGAATATTTAGAATAGACATCATCTTTTAGTGTTATATTTTCGATTTTTTATTATCATGAAACATTTTTCTGGTTAATTTCAAAGTTTATATGTATTTTCTTCCGGCTGCTGCACTTATCAAGTTTGCTTATTAATAAAACCGAAATATCTTTGTAAACGATTATTTACTTTTCTCATTAATAACATTTATTTAATTTATAGTTACACATAACCAGCGTATATGAATGACATAATAATGTCAATGATAAACACGAACAATAAAAAGTAAAAGATTGTGGGGATACAATATACGAATGACATTAAATTAAGATCTAAAATAATACTAAAATAGTACTAAAATACAACATAATAAGTATTTAGGTGTTTATATCCCGCTCAAATGGTTAACCAACAACACAAGGAAGGTGGTTAACCATGTCAGAGCGTTTGACTGTGAGTAATGCGAGAAAGTGTGTAAATGTGAACAAAAGTATGACCCATTATTCCAAACCTTGAAGGGAGACCGGTTAGTTGGATTTGCAAACTGTTACGAAGAGTGAAATATTTTTGAATTGACTTTAAAATATTAAATATAAGCTCATATATTTTTAAAAAGTTAACAATTAAAGTACACAAAATAGTTCTGTCCACTGACAGAATTGGACTCATTTGTGAAACTTAGACTGGTACTGAATCCCAGGCAGCTAAGGATCGTAGGTGGGACTATATCAAAATCGTAGTCTGGGAACTAACTCCTTAGTACAGACTAAACGCGTTTGGGTTATTCAAAAGGTCAAACGATCTGCACCTTGATTTATACTAATGAACTTGTTTGACACTATATTATAGCGAACACTGAGCAATCGTCCGAACAGTGGCTGTACAAAACCCTGTCTATATTCCTTACTATGATAGAGGAGAGATTGTCCTCGAATAAGGCGACCTACTTTCACACGAGTGAACTGCAGGCTAATTTTACAGTGGTGAGGTTATTACTGTATTGTTCTACGATCTGTATGTTAACCCTGGTTTCCTTCTCAGCAGGATATAGTTTACAGTAACGAATACCCACTTACTGGGCCGAGCTCAGCCTGTCATTCCGCCTAATCTCTATTATGAACATGATAGCCTGAGGTCCCCAGGTAAATACCCACCAGTGGACAGGTACCGCTAGATAATCAGCCAAAAATATCCACGGCAACAGGACCATTCCTTAAACTTGCTTAAGAAAGTAACCACCAAAAAGGACTAGCATGTGAAGCAAAATATAGACCCTTATCCTTCCCACAGAACAGACTAATGCTATTGTTCTAGATTGTTCTCCGACAAAACCTGGTTCGTCATTTGGAAGAGAACATGATGATCAATACGAACCAGCATGGGTTCAGAAAAAAGAGGAGTTGCATGACGCAGCTTCTCAGTCACATCGAACAGATCTATAAATCACTCAACAATGATGAAGAAGTTGATGTGATTTACCTCGACTTTGCCAAAGCTTTTGACAAGGTCGACCATGCAGTGCTGCTAGCCAAGCTTGGTCGATACGGAATTGGTGGTCAGGCTTTAAGGTGGATCAAAGAGTTTTTGCTAAACAGAAAACAAACAGTCGTTGTTGAAGGTCGCAAATCATCCTTCCAGCCAGTGGTAAGTGGGGTGCCACAAGGGACAGTCCTAGGACCGATCCTATTTATCCTGTACATCAACGATCTGTTGAACAGCATTAGCTATAGTAACGGATTCAGCTTTGCAGACGACACAAAGCTGATTCGGGCTATCCGAGGAATGAGTAGCGTGGAGTTACTGCAAGATGATCTCAACATAGTCATCGAGTGGTCACGTGTTAACAACATGGAGCTACACGAACAGAAGTTTGAGGTTGTGAACTACCCCCTGAATGGATCAAAAGCTCTAAGAGAGCTCCCGTTCTACCCAGAGACTGTTGAGTATACTACACCAAAAGGACACGCAATATCACCACAGGAAACTGTCAGAGACCTTGGAGTGTATGTTAGCAGCAGTAGGTCATGGGGTCCTCACATTGAGAAGACAGTTCAAGGAGCTAGAAAAATGGCGGCTTGGACATTGAGTGCCTTTAGAGACCGGTCACAAGTAGTCATGCTGACTTTATACAAAAGCATGGTTCGCTCCAAGCTAGAGTACTGCTGTCCAGTCTGGAACCCTACAAAAGTCACAGAGATACAAAAGCTGGAGTCTGTACAGAGATCCTTTACTAGAAAGATATCTGGCTGCCGTGATCTCCAGTACTGGGACAGGCTGAAGAAGCTTAAGTTGATGTCCCTTCAGAGGCGGAGAGAGCGTTATTCTATTATTCATGTATGGAAAATTCTTAATGAACATGCTCCGAACGATACGGGCTTCGAGTTCAAGTCTCATCAAAGGCATGGTATTAAGGCAGAGATCCCAGCCATGAACAAAAACGCACAGTTGTCGGTAAGAACAGATTACGACAACAGCTTTAGAGTTAGAGCAGCTCAGCTCTTCAACGTGCTCCCATCGGAGCTCCGGAGTATCACATTGCTAGACAGTTTCAAAGTTGGTCTAGGCAGATTTATGGAACAGTACCCAGACACACCACCGGTTCCGGGCTACACTCCGACAAACGATAACTCAATGCTGAGCTGGAGGAGGACGCACTCGATGCAGTTGTCCTGAGTACGCCCTGCCGAACTCACCAAAACGTACCAAAACGTACCAAACGTACGTAGTTATCCAACATTCAAAAGGACGGCAGCAGTGAAAAATACAAATGATACAAAAACGAAATAGCGTCACTGCAATCCTGATGATAATGATTATTCAGTGATTATTCAGATAAGCCCACGAGGATGATTAGATCGACGTGCTTCACTCACGAATGTTTATTTGGTATCTGAATTGTGGTATCTGAATTGTGATTCATGTGAATGAATGATTACCATTTCTCCTGCTCACTATCCGTCAGTCCCCTGTTAGTTAACATAGGTACACAGGATGAACGTCAAATTTACTA